CTGCCCGCGTGACGGTCAGCGCTCGCTCGTGACGGTAAATCCGGGCGAGTTAACAGAAGGCACATGCACTGCGGTAATAGCAAGGTAAAGGCTATGTAGGAAGTGCGAAATCCTCCGGCCTTCACTGTGAAGTTTTATCCTGGTGCGCCTGGATTGAACGAGCGGATGTGAGCGCAGGCCGCATGCAATCGATGTGCGGGGGCCGCGCGCCCGCGAGAGCGATCTGTGAATGCCGACCATATTTCGGGTCTCATCAGCATTCCTATCGCTTCTGCCGATCATTACTTCGAGCGTGTCCCCTCCGCCTCCTCCCGTTCCGGTCCTTTGGTCGCCTCGACTCCGTCTTTACTTTTCGCTCGAAGTAGAGCGAGTTTTAGATTGCTCTCTTTGCCGCCCTTTACCCTATCGTACCTGCTTCTACACGACACATATACACACACGAACGCCACGCCCGCGTCCACACGACAGCGGGCGCCCGGCGGCCGCCATTTGTCGTTAGCTTCTCACTCAAAGAACACGTGCATCTCTTTCTAATTTCCATTCTTCTACTCGTCTCTTTCTTTCTTTATCTCTTTCCTTTCTCGCGTCTATCCCCTGGTCTCGGGTTTTCCTTTTCGTCTCTCCTCAGCCACATAGCACAACCCCCAGGCCACGCCAGGCTAGCACGTGGGCGGACGCGGGAGGACCTACGGAGGGAATCGCACGCAACCGCACGAGCACAGCAGCACGCACGACGGCGACCAGCGGAGCGGGCGATGGCAGGAAAGGCCGGACAGCGGTGGCACACACACACAGCACATTCGCTCCCCACCGTTGCTTTATGCTCTACAACTTTTTCCTAAGATTCGCGTGTTCACTTTGAGTCATTACGTTCTCAAAATGATGATCGGACCGAATCTCGATTGGGGCAATTTCTTTTTGCGCTTAATGAGCAATCGGTTTTAATCAGAAGCTCCAATCACGACACCTTGCCGCAACTTACATGCTCGATGATCCCGATAATGCATTCCGCGTATGGGGAAGGCGAGTGGTACAACGCATGCAGAATTACAGCAGTAAATGAAGCAGGGCCAGACACAGCAATGGCAGATGCCACTACCGGGGCGTGCATGAACGGCGGCCGGCATGACGAAAATCACATGAATATATATATATATATATACATATATATATATATATATATATATATATATATATAGATAGATATATAGATAGATAAAGGCATAACAAGCGACAACGACCGATGTTTAGACGTATTTAATAAAATTCTATTATAATTCTTGACATAGAGATGGTAAAAAGGGACATTCACGGTACTTATGTAATAGCAGTATGGACGATGGAGAGACACGATTTCGTCATAAATAAAGGTACACACGCACGCGGACACAGAGACAGATACACATACACACACGATGCGATAACACCGCACAAGTAGTAAGCGCACAGCACAGCGCGCCGTGCAAACACAATAACAAACGATTACCGCGTATTAATTTTGTTTAACGATCTTATGGAATTTCTTAAGCGTCACTCGCGCCCGCAAGACGGACGCATCGCGACGCGAGCTCAACTAGACACTACTAGACGACGGAGATCATCCAGCCTGCGACACCCACCCGTGTCGCCTAGCGACATCTGACGGTTGCGTTTGGACTTGTGACACCCATTCGTCACAACTCGGCTGATCATGATTTCGTATCGCAATTTTAGCTTCGTCTGTACAAGTCGGCATTGTCGGACATGCCCGGATTATTTACCGTGGTCCGCATCAAATGACCTGGTTCAAAGGGTCAAATCCGAGGACAAATTGCGGTGGAATTTATCAATAATAACGTTTATAACTAATACGTTACGCACGCGCGCGCACACACACACGCACGCGCGCGCGCGCACGCACGCACACATACAGGCCATAGAGATGCTACTGGCTTACACACGCAGCGCAAATACTACAAGAAGTGCGGTGGACCAGTGAGTACAAGCTAACCATTAATGTTTGCCAACACTGCTGGCCGTTGACGGACAGGCTGGCTGGTCGGCGCGAAACTGAACACACACGCGCGCACGAACACGCACGCACGGACACACAAACACACGCACACGCGCGCGCGCACGCACGGACACACAAACACACGCACACGCGCGCGCGCACGCACATAATAAAGAGTTTCCAGACAGTAGTCGGAAAACTAACGAAACGACAACGTGAACGACGGCATTGCCATGCGCGACGCACGCGCGAAGAAACCCGAAGAACGACAGCGACGGAGCCCGTTTGAGCTACGCGAGATCTCGGGATAATTTACTTATCACAACTATCAAGTAACATGAGCAGAAGAAAAAAAGCGCAACAGAATCATTACTGCATGATTTTTTTTTGTTCCCTCGCGACGTGGATCACGTTCCACGTTCGTTCGAACGGGAAAAACGTAAACGACGGTTTTTTTTTACCCAGGTCTACTTCAGAACCTGGTACCGTATCCTCATAGGCCGTAGAAAATTTCTTCTCGCAACATACGCTCTGATATACACACAACGTATACTTGCACTACAACAACAATTGACACATGGGACTGACTATACGTTAAACACGATTATTGCTTGTGTTCCCTACAGGACTACAGAGGGGTGCGCGTGCGAACTAGAAGAGGTGTTCCCGACTGAAGTACTGTCTCTATACAAGACATTCATGTCTAACGCTAATAACTTATACACAAAATATCACATTTTCATAACAAAAACAACGCCGATCTGAAGGACCTCTAGCGGGGGAGAAGAGGTCAAACGGGGGTTAACTTAGCTCATATATAAACACACGAGATGTAAAGCGAATACACCGACCGACTGATATTGGAATGTTAGAGATATAGATGGGGTATAGCGGAGGGAGGGAGAGAGTAATAGAGGACGGGACGAAGAGAGGAAGGGAATATATTATGTATATATATATATATATATATATATAGTGGAGAGATACACGCGCATCATAGACGGCAGTGCTGGCATGTACGACCCACCCACTGATGACTTTCTGCCGCGATAGAAACTGTTGGCCTAGGACAAATTGCCTAGACACGCGCTCAAGCCGCGTCGCCACCGGCACACCGCTCAGCGACAGTACGATAGCAAAACAGCATCGCAGCTTAATCATAGGCTAAATCCCGGTTTAAAACGGAGAGCACTCGTTGCATTCGTGCGCTAAGCCAGTTTTCTCGGCCACTGGAGAAAGTGGCGCGTACGTTTAATTGCAGGCAGTAGCAGTCGCTGCGTCGCTCATGCCAGCGCGCATGCAAATAAGTAAATTATTGCTGCCGCGCGGCTCCATCGAAATGAATGCTAATCCGAGTCTCGCACCCTAACCGAAGGCCAACGCCCCCCCCGCCGCGCCTCAAAAGAAGGCTCGCTAAACAAAACGCTTAACAACGAGATTACGCGTGCGTGTGAAACGCGCACTAACACAGAGAAGCGGTAGTCAAACACGGCTATAAAATCGAAGGGGAATATTCTTCCTCTCTCATGCAACCCGATCGTACGTTACGTCGAGTGAATAACAGGTAAGGGGGAAAGGTCCGAATAAAATGGAAGAGTAGGTCGAGCGTACGCGATGAGAGGGCGGGGCGGGCGGGAAATGAGAAATCGAGAGCAATATGACGGATATGAGAGAGAGCGAGAGAGGAGACGAAGCCGAGAGGGAGAGAGCGAAGGAGAGTGTGAGAGAGAAAAGAGTAACGGTGAGCAGAGGATAACCCTATAAGCAAGAGCAGACCCATACGCCCGCCACGCATGTACACACATCACACTCCAAACCACACACACACACACCACACACACACACACACACCGCACACACAACACACACACACCACACACACACACACACACACCACACACACAGCCACACACACACACACAACACACGAGCCAGGCAGCGCCATCCGCCAGCCACGAGCACCCAGTGT